GGATGGAGCGGGGAGGGAGATAGGATGGCTGAGGCCCTCTGGAGGCTGATGAGGGCAAGAGCACAGGTTAGCCACACCTGGGGGTGTCCTGGAAGCCAATGAGGGAGAATTAAGGGAAGATGAGTTCCTCTCGCAGATAGTGGGGTCTCCTGGTCGGAAGGAAGGTCAATGGCGGCTCAGAAATGGTCAGGGCTGCTCTGGGGGCCCCGAGTCCCCATCATCAGAGGAACCCGACGGGCTGATGAGCAAGCCCTTGGCAAGGACCCTGGGAACTGTTGGGTGCCGGGCGGTGGGTGCCAGCTGGGTGCTATGATCCCGTTTAAAAAAGGCCCCTTTTATGGCTGCCGACACACAGCTGAAGACGCTGAAGAGCAGGGACAATTAGGAAAAGCGCAGTCAACGCAGTGACGGGATTACCCACTGGTAGCAATTTGGCCGGTTGTCCCCTGGGTTGGTGCCGAGACGTTTTGCCCGGCGGTGGTCACGTTCTGCACGCGCCCTGCGTCTGCTTTTGCTCATGAACGCCGCCCGTGGCTCTCAATCATATTCCATGTTATTTAAAAGTATCGCCTAATATCCCACTGAGCGGAGCGATTGAAACATAGTCACGTGGTAAGGCCCTTTCTCCTCCATTTAGCAGATATCTATTGGATGTCTCCCGCGTGCCCTGCTCTGCCCAGAGGGTCCGGAGAAGGCTCAGAGGTGAAGGCATTGCCCGAGGGCCCTGGCTAGTGAGTGGCAGAGCTGGGCTCGACAAGCTGGCCTGACCCCACCTCTGGCATAGCTGGCAGGAAGGCCCGGACCCCCAGACCCTGTGACACGTAAAGGTGGGGCTCACCGTGAGGCCTGGAGTCCACCACCCTGCCCCCCTCGGCCTGCTCTCTGCGTGACCTTGCTCAGGGCGATTAACAGGAGTCCACCACCCTGCCCCCCTCGGCCTGCTCTCTGCTCCTTGCTCAGGGCGATTAACGTCCTGAAACCTTACTGTCCTCATCTGTAAAATGGGCACAACAATACCACCCGCCTCCTGGCTAGTCAAGAGGATGAGATGAGTTGAAACACTGAGAGTGGCACCGAGAGAAAGACGGACAACTGCGGCTTAATGACTATGGTCGCGGTGCCCTT